ATTAATTAGTGAGATAGTAAGAAATAAGAAAAATAATATATATATATATATATATATATATACAACATACACACTATTTTGGTCTTTTAACCCACTCTCCTCTACCCTACATCATCTTCTATCTCACAATTTTTCTATCTCACAAACAGTAAAATCAACTCAAATATCTAATTTTAAATAGTAAATGTAGTATATTGCCTATTTTGTTTCAAAAATGTACTAAATGACAAACTTTCCCTATATAAAACTTGACCAATACATTTTATCAAGTCAACAAGTAACAGTATAATACTCGTTTTTCTCAGCTCACCTACAGTATACAAAATCTCTATAACTGATTAATGGTTATCTATTAAGTCTTATCAATAACGAAGTAGTACAAGAAAAATAAAACGAAAAATATGGGGAGATATCCAGTTTTGATGATCTTTCTTGCTTCTTCTCTTCTTCTTGTCTTTCAAAAGCTCGAAGTCGTTAACGCCGTTGGATGTACCGGAAGCTTATTCAACGGTAATAGCAGCTACGCTCAGAATCGCCGTGATCTTTTCTCTACTCTTGCAGATAAAGTCGTCACCAACGGTGGATTCTACAACGCTTCACTTGGCAAAAGTCCCAACAGAGTTCATGCTGTTGGTCTATGTGGAAGAGGCTACGAGCAACAAGCTTGTATCAGTTGTATTGAAAGTGCGGTTCAGGGTATACTAACGACGACGAGTTGTCTAAACCGCGTGGATTCCTTCACGTGGGACAAAGACGGTGAAGACAATGTTTCTTGTCTTGTAAGTACCTCAAACCACTCAACTTTTGGTAGTCTCGAGCTTAGACCTGCTGTTAGATACCAAAGTCCAAATAATATCGAGCCATCGAAAAACATGACTCTTTTCGAACAAGAATGGAATGCAATGTCTAACCGGACCCTTGACGCTGCCACGGAAGCTGAAACTTCCTTGGTGCTTAAATACTATAGTGCTGAGAAAGCCGAGTTCACAGAGTTTCCAAATGTTTACATGCTGATGCAATGCACACCCGATATAACTTCCCAAGATTGCAAGACATGTTTGGGAGAATGCGTGTCGCTTTTTAAAGAACAGGTTTGGGGAAGACAAGGAGGAGAGGTTTATCGTCCGAGCTGTTTTTTCAGGTGGGATCTATATGCTTTCCATGGTGCTTTTGACAATGTAACTAGAGTTCCTGCACCTCCTCGACCGCAAACTCAAGGAAACGAGAGCTCTATAACCGAAAAGAAAGGTAAACCAAATGAGTTAGAGCATTGCCACAAAATTTGTAATTATGATAAAGAGGTTCTCAGGCTAATAGGTGTTAATGATTTGCAGGAAGAAGCAATGGTTATCGTGGAATCATCGCTATATTTGTGGTTCTTACTTTCATTAATATTTTTGTGTTTATTGGCTTCATAAAAGTATATGCACGGAGGAAAAAATCATACAACGTAACCAATGGTTAGTGTGCCTTTAGTTACTTGTTTCAGTCTACCTTAAGAAATTTGCAATTAAGGGTTCTTTGTTTTCTTTTTTTGTTAGTTCCTAGTGCAGAGTACTCTGATTCTGATGGTCAGTTTGTGCTACGGTTTAATCTTGGTATGATCTTAATGGCAACCAATGACTTCTCGTCTGAAAATACACTTGGCCAAGGTGGATTTGGTACAGTCTATAAGGTAGTAATAACATTTTTTCTTGATAATGAGTCGTTGATTGATCTTACTCTTGGATGAGTAACAAATCATGAGAACTGATTTCAGGGGACGTTACTAAACGGGCAAGAGATAGCGGTGAAGAGATTAACAAAAGGTTCAGGACAAGGAGATATGGAGTTCAAGAATGAGGTTTCACTATTGACAAGACTCCAACATAGGAATCTTGTTAAGCTTCTTGGGTTCTGTAATGAAGGAGATGAAGAGATTCTTGTCTACGAGTTTGTCCCTAACGCAAGTCTTGACCACTTTATCTTTGGTGAGCCTTTTGAAAAACACCAGCCAATTTTGGATTGTCTTAAAACTTCTACAAAACTAAAATGTTTTTTTTTTTTTTCAGATCAAGAGAAGCGTTCACTTCTTACATGGGAGATGAGGTTCAGAATTATAGAAGGCATAGCTCGAGGTCTTGTATATCTTCATGAAGATTCTCAGCTAAAGATTATTCACCGAGACTTGAAGTTGAGCAACATCCTTTTGGACGCTGAGATGAACCCTAAAGTTGCAGACTTTGGAACAGCGAGGTTGTTCGACACTGATGAGACTCGAGCTGAAACAAAAAGAATAGCTGGAACCCGGTAAGAGATATATATCAATCAAATTTGAATACACATTTAAATGCTCTGTTTTTAAAACAGAGTCTTGTAGACATTTAAAAAACCATCGTTTAATGTCATTGGTTTGCGTATATGCAGAGGATATATGGCTCCTGAGTACCTGAATCATGGGCAAATTTCAGCCAAATCTGACGTCTATAGCTTTGGTGTCATGCTTCTAGAGATGATAAGTGGTAAAAGAAACAAGACTTTTGAAGGAGAAGGACTTGCAGCTTTTGTAAGCTTCTTTACATATAAGTGATTACACAATTTTTTCTAACTCTTGAAACCTTTTGTGTACAAATAGTAACAATACATCTATTCTTGATGTAGGCATGGAAGAGATGGGTTGAGGGAAAGCCTGAGATTATAATTGATCCTTTCTTGATAGAGAACCCAAGAAACGAGATCATCAAGTTGATCCAGATTGGTTTGTTGTGTGTTCAAGAGAATGCAACAAAGAGACCAACCATGAGCTCTGTTATTATTTGGCTTGGAAGTGAGACTATCATCATTCCATTACCTAATTCTCCTGTTTACACTAGAAGTAAATCCCAATCTGAAAGTAGTACAATGTCGATAAGCAGCGATGTCTTCACGGAGTTGAGTTGTCGTTGAGCTGTAAATCAGTTAATCAAAATGTGAATTCCTAAAGAAAACTAATGTAATACATTGTATTTTGTGGTCTTGGTCATGAACTCATCATGATCATGATCAAAGAACTTTCATTTTATCTTTTGGTCTTGAGTTATTTTCTCTTTAAGTAATGTTACATTTTTTTAAATGGTTTTGTAATGATGATGGTCTATATATGTTTTGATCCTCGAATGGTTCAACAGCAACCAATGATATCTCTACTTGAATA